GACGCGTGACCTTCCTCAAAGTGGTTTAGTGGGTCACAATTCCCTACATACAAGTGTTTTGTCATACAATTTCACAGAGTCATAAATCATTTTGAACTTTGATATTTGCGGGGCACTTTTAAACAAATGCCACTGATAAAAAGAAAACATTTTGACCTCATATCCTTTACCACTGACTTCCTCGCGCTTCCCCTCATTCTCTCTGTTTCGCTCTCAGTCTGGTTCCTCCACTCCTATCGCTTCCTCCAGCTCTCCTCATCCATCTCTGCCTCCCTGTCTCTTTTGCTATTTTCTTTTCTTTCCCTCTCTACTGTTACCTATGTGTATCTGAGAGTGAGAGAGAGAGACAGATAGACAGAGAGACGGAGAGAGGCCTGACACATGGGCCCAGTTCCTTAATAATGTCATTCGGTGTGAACGCTATTAGCAGATTACCCTTGGCCCAGGGCAGCCTAACCATGTGCAGGAACTAGATAACCTTGTGTTCGGTAATTTAATATCAACACTTCCCCTCTTTTCTTACCACGCTTTACAACACACAAATACCCTGCTTGTCCCCTCCGGTCCTATTTCCAGAGAGAGAGAGAGAGAGAGAGAGAGAGAGAGAGACAGAGGATTACAAGATAGTGACTTCTTGAAGATGCCTTTCCTCCGCTGAGAAGTGTGGCAAATCGTCCCTTGTCCATGGGTGTGAGAAAATACATAAACAGGCTTATATTGAAAATTCCATCTGATTTAATGCAGGGAATTTAGCTCAGCGCAACATCAAAGGAGCCGCCCATCTTTTTAAAGGCCCTAGATGGGGTACTGTCATTTTCCCCCTCCTTCTAGTTCTCCTCCTCGGGGCTATCATAGCCCTAACATTTACCACTTATCAGGCCAATATGAAAAGCACAGAGGAAACTTCTTGTCACACAGTTTGATTTTGTAAGAGTGGGTGAGAGAGGCAGGAGCAGACTGGAAGCGAGAGAGAGAGAGAGATAGAGAGATCTACCAGTCAAAGGAGCAAGACGTTATGGAATCAAATCCCATGCTTTATCCCCCCACAAGCTGAATCACAATCCTGCATTAGCTGCTATATCACACTTTGTCCTGCTGCTGCTCTTTTTCCCGTCGCCCGTGAGCCAAACCGGGAGCGCGAGGGCCAGCCGGCACGGTCCTATCACTCACCGGCACTCTCTCATGCCGGCGTTACCACGCCTTTATCTCATCTCCTGCAGCCCGGCACGGCCGGCCGCCTCTCGGTCCTCCAGGCTACTTTACTAATAACCTTTTTCTTATCAGTCACCGTGCACCTCTGCCTGTGATCAAAGAGCCAATTAATGGAGCGGGGAAAGGTGAAGCATTCAAATAATGGAGACAGCTGTTTTTCTCTGTTTGAGAAAATCCATTTTGTATTGTTATCGGCTCCGAGCAGCTCCCCGAGACCGGCGCTTAATTCAAGTCACTGTCTGCTTCTGCCTGGCTTGATAAGAGAGAGTGAGAGAAGACAGGAGGGGAGATGAGCGGGAGAAGAAAAGAGTCCTGGTCACAATGAACTTTATGTGGAAGAATGTGGCAGGAATAACACAGCAGTCCAACTCATCCCTGAGCTTTATCAACTCCAAAGTGTTCAACACAGAGATAAAAAAGGGGGGGGGGATAAAAAGGCAGAGCTTCCAGAGCTCACAGGCTGCTTCGTGACTTCACTGTCATTCGTTTTGGAAGAGCGCAGCTGATTCATGCTCTTTGAGGTCCAGCACAGTCTTGTCACGCAAAAGACCCGAGTTAGTTAAGAGGTTAATCGTACTGGTGACAGAGCAGCATTATAAACAGCTCTATCAAAGGCTCCTATCTTAACAGCTTTGTTATAATGAGTATCACTCGGCTTAATTTGAACAGTTCCTTAAGCCCTGTCACTATGCTTAAGGCGGAGGGTAAGATTGTTGCACTGGTTGTATAATCAAGTCTTTCAAGTGTCTAAGATGCAACTGGAAAAAGGGACACGCCTCTCTTGTATTAGTAAGTATAGTCATATATCTCCAGAAAACATATGAAAAGAGTATAACTATACTCAAAAGGTCACACATAGGCTCTAGCTGGCTGTTATGATTTAGTCTTTCAAAGAACCTGAGCTCAGCAAGCCCCAACACCTTAGACCCCTTAGTTTCCCCTCGCTACCTGTACTCATTTGTCAATTATGACGGCTGATCTTTGTTCTCTCAAGAGATGATATTTTCGGACTAATACACAGAACTTAAAATTGGCAATTAAATCATTTACAGCGAGTCAGACAGGATCATTCAAGTTTGAAGACATCAACTTCCAAGTCAACAAGGAAAATCCAATTTTTCTGACAGCCCCAATAAATCCACTGACGATTCAGAAATGCTGAAAAGGCATTTTCATATTCCATATTTGCTTAAAATGCAAAAACAATGCCGCCTCACAGTTAAAGTCCAATGTTTACGGTAAATAAACCCACATTTCATGGTTATAGTACGATGCTGTCAGTGCACAGTATTTTTATTCTCAATCTACACTTATCTGCAATCATACAACAAACTTGTTTGATGACTTGAACTCTAAAATCGTAGAAGTCTTTTCTTCAACGCTGCCTTCCATCCCACATTACGTCAAGAAAGCATTACAACTGGCTTATGTATTCATGAAAAGGAAATGGAGATACATCAGATCCTAATTTAAAATGAATTCCCTCTTTTTACATACGTTTGCCAATATTACTTACATTTTCCAAACTAGACCATATCTCCCAGATACATTATGGTGCATCACTGTAATGTCTTTGTGGTTTTCGGTTCAAACTGTATCGCAAGTACTGCGAGCAATGAAAGACAAACAGGCAGTCAGTCACAGGACATTAAGAAGTCATGGGAAAGAGAGAGAAGTACATTTCAAGACCACAATTCATCTGTTTAAAAGCTATTCAGTAAAGTCGGGATGTCTTCGGAATCAACTTTGTGAAGGCTGAACTTGTAAATAGAAATTCAGCACAATTCATACAAAGTATAGTTCCCATTTTTTTAATGCTACTTTAGGTTTGAGTGGTGTAAAGTCATAATTCCAACCATTAAAATAAAACATCAGGTGTGTAGATTCAAAACTTTGTCTGTGTCTCTAGAGCTGAAGGATAAACAAACCACTGGAAAATGATAGGAAGTACTGCAATAGTAGAGCCCCTTAATGAAGACAGTGAGGTCCAAGGTCAGGAATCAGGAAAAATAGCCGGCAGTGTGGAAAAATGAATAAGCTGTGTATGTACTTAGCAGGGTTTCAGCTATACAGCCTTCATGTCGATCAACAGATTTTCCGCTACTTATTCTCCTCAAACAGATCGACTGTATGCAGGCATGAGTCCGATACAGTGGACCGGTACGTCACATTTAGACCTGTTCATATGCTACTGATCTCAAATTTCACCTGGCAAGTGTGTGCAAAGCAGCGACTTATTCACCTTATAATCCCACCCGTTACCAGTGCTTTTAGCTAAAAACATATACAGCCTACAACCAGGGATGGAAAGAGTACTGTAGAGTATTTTACTCAAGTAAAAGTACCGTTACAGAAATTCTACTCAACTGATTGTTTAAATATCTACTTTAATAAAAGTGAGTTACTAACTATTAAGTAATTTACATTAAAGAACATCTTTAGGCTATAAAATGTATTGCATTAAATGTCACTGTACATATTAGTGGAACAACACCAGCAACTTGAGCCCTGATGTCCAAACCAACAATAAATCCCATTTAGACAGCATGGTAAATGGTAAATGTACAAAGGGTGGTTGTTGACATTGTCATCTGAGTTCAGTGAGTGTTGTTGTTGTTGTACTCACCTGTCTGAACGTCATCCCGTGAGAGTCGCGAAGTCCTCCACAGTCTGCACCAGATTAAACTTCATGAATCACAGCATGTAACGAGTCCTCTCAGCCTGGCTGCCCCAACACTCCAATTCAACAAGTTATGAGCCGAATGACGCGCTGCAGTCACACCGGGGATTATCGTCACAGACAGGAGAAAGTCCTCTCACTGTGAAGGTTGAAGCTCCTCAGTGAAGCAAAAGTCAGCGTTGAGAATCCACCGTGAGCATATCAGCATATCGGCTATCCTATAGCCACAACGTGCACCTGTACAGTAACATCGTGGGTGTGCTTGATTTGAGTCACACTGGCGTGCTTACCAGGTAGAGTATTAAATCTGCGATTAAGTAAAATGGATGCAACTTTACCGAGGTACAATAATACAAACCATAGCGCATAAGGACGAAATCCTTAATTTGATTTTTGCTAGTGTGCATTTGATGTACTTCTCACGCGCTATCCCCGGCCCAGGTGAGACCGCACCTCTCGCGCTGACGCTCGGCCATGTATTTCTTCCGGATCGTCAGCTGAGTGGAGACAGTGCTCTCCTCCGGATTTATCTCCTTTCTTTTTGTCCCTTTCTCACAAAGTTTATCAACACTTTTTCACGTTATTTTTCTTTTTAACTCTGTAGGGGAAGCGATTTCAAATGTAGTTGAGTACAATACTTCAGGTTAAGGTAGGCTATTAAGTAAATGTAAAATTAATTCATTTTTTTGTAAAAAAAGAAAGAAAAAGGCCTAGTGTATAACTAGAAACAAGAGTATAGTAGCCTAATTCGTTACTTCAACCCTGAGTGGACTCCTCTAGTTGCAAAAACAAGTCTGATGGTATGGAAGTTTATGAGAAAATTACCCTCTCACAGATTACATCAGTAAACATTGGGAACATGAGTTTCTGGATCTCAATAGCTTTCAAGTCTTCTTCAATACAGCATGATGTTCATTTAGTAAATTATGGTCCCATTTAAAGTAAAATAGATGATAAAGCAGGGTATAGGGAACTTGTGAACTGAACTTCAACTGTAATCAGTGGAGTGTCCCTTTAATTTGTGAAATGCTGGTGTTTGGATGGATGGTGTTGCGCTAATCTTGGATACTGCTGATGTAATGAAAAAACTCAAGTCTAAGTCTCAGAGGCAGGTATTAACATATTTATTACACCGTTAAGAGAACAACAATACCAGAATTATACTGCAAAGTTTCACAGACTGACAGACCATAGTTTACAGCCCAAAAAAAGAATTTAAAAAAGAAATAAAAAAAACAAACAAGAAACCACAGTTCTGACATAGTAGACTGGAAAGCTCTCTAAGGACACTGACTCTAGGCGATGGAGAAACCGCCCAGTGTCAGCCTACCACTAACCTGTGGTTTTCATGTCTCAAATAAGTATTGCACAACAACTTCAAATCATTTGAGCTTTTTTTTCACAATAAATCTTCTCAAGAGAACCCATCCCACCCCCCCAAAAATAAAAATAAAACTCCCACCCTTTAAGTTCAACTCACACCCCCAGATTAATGCTACGGCCTTCACTGTTCACTGTCGGCCCCACACATTTCCTAAATGCTTCTTGATAAGTAGGAAATGTATATAATATTTCCTCCCATTGTGAAAAACAGGCATGTCTAAATTTTAGCCTTATTTTTTTCATTTTAGTTTTTTACAAGCGTTTGCCTTTTGTAAATCCCCTCTTTTGAATTTTACCCCCCCACTGACAAGTCGACAAGCGCTTTAGCATGTCTTCACAACAGAGAAAAGGAGAAAAAGGTGGAGGGGGAAACAAGAGAGAAAAAAGAGCGAGAGACAAACAACATTTCTTATCTGTGACCCTACAGCTTGTATCATCGAAATAGGAATCGACAACTTTTCTTTAAAATCAGCACAATTTTAAAATTCTGTTCAAACAAATCACTCTTGATGTACTCTAAAAACGCCACAGGCATAAAGGAACATAACAAAAGTTTTTTTTCAGTTTTTTTTTCTCATTTCTATTCATTTATGTTTCATTTATTTATGAGGTCTGCATTGTTACCAAGTAGTGATATGGTTTTGCAGCTGTATGAGCTTCGACTTTGGGTTTTTTATTTTCCTGTTCTCTTGTGCCCATTTGGTTTAGACTAGACCAGTATCAGCGCCGCGACTGATGCTCTTATCGTGCTGTAAGAGGTAGAGTGAGACTTGTTTGCTACCGAGGAATTTGTAGCAAAACACACATAGAGGAGGGAAGAAAGAAAAAAATAGAGCTTCTCAAAGAATTATTGAGCAATAATTTTAGTCTTCGTTTTTTTCCATTTTTTATTTTTTTTCAAACCCAGGTTTTGCCCTGATAGTGATGAACACACACATTATTTGTTGTATACTTTCAAATACATTAGTGTTAAAACAGCTTGGCTGTTTCTTCACAGCTTCTGAGGAGTCTTGAGTAGGGTGTCAGACACCTTTTTGGATTGTTTAACCCTTTAGAGTCGATAATGCAGGTGTGTATTTTTTTTCTTTTAGACAAGAAGGGAGGGATGAGGAAGTACAGAGGGAGCAAACAGCCCAGAACCTTTGTGGGCCTCCACTTGTTTCTTGAGGTCAGAATTTGTAACGCGCTTCTGTGTAGCACCAGGGTGTTTGGGGTGAAGAGCCTTTGTGTGCGTCAGGATAAGTGCTCTCTCACTGCGAATGAGAGGTCTGTTTGATTTACATTGAAGGTTTACAACAAAGCTGTGACTGATTATCTATTCCAACAGCAAAAAAAATGACATACTGTGATATAAATAAATACAAAACAAACGGCATTGGTGTGAATGCCCAGTCTCACATTCACCGCCTTTAAGAATAAAGAACTGTACTGCTTAAAGCTGAAATGGGCACTTAATCTCACATTTGTGTAAGGAGAAAATGCACAAACAAGATCAAAAAATATCTCAAGACTTTTCTTCAAAAATGGTCACAGAAGTCACCAGTGTTCATTAGTTATTATTGCTCCAGTTGAAATGTAACACTGCTGTGAAAATGTCCGTTTAATTCACACCTTCTCATTTCACAATGTAAGATGAGTGCCGTTGGTTTCCAGAAAGGATTAAAATAAATGACTTTTATGATATTGAAGTTGGTTTTGTTCCATGAAAGTGTGAACAAAACGTGAAGAAATAAATAACCCAAATATATGTGTGAACAAACCTCTTTTGAAAATCGTTTAAATCAGGATTTTGGTCCTTGGTGTCAATCTTTGGCTGTTTTTTTGTTTGTTTATCTTTTGTGTTAATACTGTGTTACCTGGTGCTTTGCAGTGTTAAAGCTGTCAATCGGAGTCTACACCTCTGCATTTGGAAAGTTAGTTTGTTAGAATATTTTTTGTCAGTTTTTTTTACTTTTTTTGGTTGTTTTTCATTTTTTTTCTAAAAAATAACAAATATTTAACAAACGTTCAGTAATGTGCATGCACTGTCTGTAACTATTTCCAAAAAAACGTTATGGCCGCTTTTGTTAACATGTTGAGAAGGAGAAAGAAAGTGGGTTTGGTGATTTTACATTTTTCCAACAAGCCCCATCCTAAAAAATGTGAAAACAGATAATGCTATCACTACATACAAAATGGTTGATGAGTTATGGCTCTATAGCGACAACACAAGTATGCTAAAAAATAAGCATGCCGAAATAACCTCTGTGACAGTGCAAATACATTTATGTATGTCCCTTGTACAAAACATTTAGGTTAGCATTCCGCGCAACATGCTAGTTCTCAGAAAAGATCTGGGTCGGACTCAAGTAGCAGCTCTGAGATATAGCTTGTGTCTTTTCTTGAGGACGAAGGGAAGTACAACTTAAAGAACTACGAGGGATCTACCACTTACACACAGAATAGAAAAGCAGCTTGGAAAAAAAGATAACACTTCTTTTTTATCTCTTTTTGCTAGAGAGAGCGAGAGTTATGAAGGATTTAGAGTTGTGACTGGTTGAAGTACTATGTATTGTCACAATTGTCCAACACATATACAATAAATAACCATTGGTGACACCACAGGACAGAAGTCTTAAACACCATGACATCTACAGAAAAAGAATAAGAAAACATGAAGAAAGATGAAAATGTTTGTAAGAGTTGAGACAGGAGGGGAGTGTCTGGAGTGCAGAATGAGCTTCCTACCAAGTTCTCCACACTGTAGGTTTCCAGCTCTGAGGGGCCCAGTGGATTGCTGCTGTGGTGGTTTGACAGTCTCGCCGGCGGGACGATGACTTCACTTCCTGTTTGAGAGCTTCTGTGACCCACCAAGCATGCACGTGCGAATTGTAGTCAGTATATCCTCCACATGTGCAGTGGGCAAAGTTTTGTATCTTGTCCAAGAATTCTTCCTTTTATGTCCTTCAGGGAGACGGATTTGTATTTCCCAGCCCACTGACCTGGATATTATTACAAGTGAGAGGGAAATAACATTGGTTGAACAGCTGGCTCTGCTTGCAATCTGCTGCACATCTGCCCGTTTCATGGCTGTCTGTGGGCCAGAGATTCAGTCCGTCCCTCTCTCTCCAGGCAGCAAACTTGTTCATCCATCCTTCCGTTGGTTCGTCTTTCAGGGTATCTGATATCCTTCTTTACAAAGAGTGTTGACGACTTCACTCATTCTGCTAGCTAGTTATATTCCCTTGGTATGCTGTTTGGTAAAATGAGGTTGATTAGTCTCATGTCCCAGGTACAGGAAGGAAATAAGCATTAATTCATGGATGGAAAATAAAAACATTTAAATAAGGGGAGGTCAGATATACTTGTCTTGAGTTCACGGGTATCTCTTCTTGGTCTCTTAATATTTACAGGAAAAAATAAGATAAACTACAATGACAACAACATTAACAACAACAGGCACGACGACAAACGGACAACAAGAATAGCAAGTGTAACGATAAAAGGATGTCAATATTTAAATTCATTCATTCAAAACAAAGAATATCTTTGTGTTTCTTTAAAGTCATGTCAAGTCAATATGACCTGATTATGGACCTCCTCCTCCTCCTTCTATGACTACGCTGCAAGACAGACAGAAGCATTGTCATCTCTTTCTGTTAGCCACATTAGCGTAGTATCTTTGCAAGGCAATGTAGACAGTCATGCTGTTTGTGGGGTTGAGGGCTGTCTGTTAAGCCCAGGGGGCCTTTGACTCCATCCTTCGTGTGAGTCTCTTAGCGCGGTGTGCCATCCAGGGCAGAGGAGGACGGGGTGCTGGGGGTGGAGGAGCGAGGGGTAGCAGCAGGCGGGGTAGCAGCCGGACTCCCGGTCCCGCTGCTCGGGGTGCAGGCGGAGGAGCTGATGGGAGCAGGGGTCTCTGACCCCGGCACGCCTCCCTGCTGCTGGCTGGCCTGCTGCTGCTGCTGGGCCTGGAGGGTCTGACCACAGACATGGTGGTGCTTCTCCCAATCCTTATGCTGGCAGAAGGAGCCGCAGTAGCGCGCCGTGTTGCAACCGCTGCACGTCTCACTGGCTTTGCGGCCACAGTTCCAGCAGCTCTGACAGACAGAAAGACACACAGTTACCTAACACGAAAATAATACAGCAGAAGAATTTACAATCCAGACATTTGGCCAGTTGAGCTGATGAATTTCTGATTATTGATAAAACTGTAAGTAGGACCCCTTGTTTGTTTTATCCTATGCATAACACACTATCATGTGTTAGTGATATCAAAATGCCTCAAACAGAGAACTAGCAACAGATATCAGTGCAACAGTCTGCACATTAACAGAAGTTGTCTCTCCTTTTACAACACTTAAGCTTAAAACAAACCACAGACAGATGAAAAACCCATCTCTAATAACACTTATGGCCTCTTATAAGCCCTAGAAACCGCAGGGAGAGCATGTCAGGGCAGCTGAATATCCACAGGAAACAGGAGAACAAGGTTACAAACAGCTTCTGAGAGTTTACCTCTGGGGCGCTTCTCTCTCATAAACATCACTCCTGCAATTAATGACAGATGTGGGCCATATTTCCCTCTCACTTAACTGATTAAATGCCAAGGTCTCTGATGGTGATTAGCAAATGAAAGCTCCTTCCCTTTCCTCTCAGCTGAATTGGTAACACCTCTCTAAACATGCTAGCTACTCTGTCCGAAACAAATAGAGGAAGGAGGAAAGCGAGGGTAATAGATGCTGGATTGACCTTGTTTTGCATTGCTTTCCATTCATTTGGCTTCCATTAATACAACAATAAAATACAACAGAAACGTCTTTGTAAGTGAATATCCTATCATTTGTATCATTTGGGAGTTACTAGAACAGCTGGCATCTAAAGTGTAGTCAAAGTGACAACAAAGAACTACCATAGCTACCAAACAAGAGGATGGCGATGACAGTTTTCATGATGTCTTTGAAAGATTGAGGGTACACTTTTTGATGTCTCGAAGTGCTTGTGTATATTCCTACCTCGCTGGAGTCTTCTTGTTGGTTGATTACGGAAAGCGCATCCTCGGCAGCCTGTCGCTTTGCCTCTGCTACCGTACGCTCCATCTTGGCCCGCTCGGTGCTGATCATCTCGTGAGCCTTACGCTCGGCCTCTGAGACGGCCTTCTGCAACTCTGACACAGCCTGTCGCTTCACCTCATTCACAGCCTCCTCTGGAAAGAGTGTGGACACAGAGGAAGTCAAGCCTCCCGTACCTGTAATGTAGTGGGCATTGTATCATCCTGTTGTTGGAAGATTATTTTCAATGAGCACACTGATGTTTTTAGTCTCGTCTAGGATACAACAGTTACTATTTCTGAATATAAACATTTAATAACAGTTTTCTGAAACAATTGAAAAGTTTCATTCGACAGAAGTGGTACCTAAGATTGTGCCTTCTGAAAGCAGTTTCATGTGCTAAATCTGTAACACATCTGGAGGACAGAAACCATAACCATAAAACTAATGCTTTCACTCACTTTTATGTTCGGACAAAATCTGAGAAAAGACACGCCTTGAAGTTAAATGATGAGAATTAATTCACATAGAAAACCTTTTTAGTTTTTGTTATTCCAAGATCATCTGCAGGTAGTACCCCCTGGGATACACCAAATTTAACCAGACATCAATTTTTAAACGTGGTAAATATACGATAGTGGGTGCATTAAAATATGAAAACGTGATCGCTTTCGTTTAATCATTAAGGCATTTAGGAAGTAACGGTGAATGTGGCATGTTTAATCAGTTACAAGAGGTTCTCCAATGGGTCAATGATGATGTTTTTTTTAAATTTAAAACGTTAAAAGGATCATATTTGACAATGAGCAAACCAAAACTATATTTTTTCTTATAATATCCCCGAGATAACAGCATGGGCCAATTAATCCCAGGTAATCAGTCAGAAAACATACTTTTGAGATGGAGCAATGTGTTATTTTATTCTTGTTTTGTGTAATGAATAACCTTGCTGCGCGGGTGTTAAGCAGTGGAATTCCAACCGAACGTCAAAGCAAAAGGAGGGCTTTTTTGTTTGCTCCCATCAAGCCTGTAACTTGACTAATTGTGTATGCAAATCAGGCAATTTATATTTAAATTATGCATTTCTATTGTGATCCCAGAGGCCCATGTGGTGAGGGAAGTGGGAAGCCGGTAGGACACCGTGCAAGGTGCTTGAATATTTATCACCAACTGTAAACATTTTGCCCATTTCAAACAGATGTATTCACTGCCGTACTCCATTGTGTTAAAAATCCTATTTCTCAGTCCTCCCTAGGTCACATTTAAATCAGTCTCTCCTCAGCCAGAATATATGCGAATGAAGTGAAAAGTAAATACGGAGAAGAATGCAGAGAATGAAAAATAGCAGGCACCATTTATCCCACAGACAAAAGATAAATACAGCTTTATGTCTGACAAATATGCTTCACTTTACTTAATTCCCTTTGTTGACGTTACACTTGTATTACAAATGTAAAATCTGTATTCAATATCACACAGAATGTGTGCTTTTCTAAAGACAGACATTTTCTTTCCATCGTAATCGAGCTACATTTTCAAACCAGGGTGGCTTTGTCTTTAACCTACTGTGCTGCCTGAAGTCATGGAAATTGCCCTGGTGCGGTGTGATATATGCCTTGTGCATGGAATTGTGATTACACACCAAATGCCTTAGATGGAAGATCGATCAAAGCTGGTGAGGGGAGGAGAGGACTGGAGAGCAGGCAGAGTCCCAATGGTGATACTCAATTCAATTTAAATGCATATTACTTGTTCTGAGTATCTCACACATCATGCTCGGTCAAGCAAGGGGACAATTTCTTTTCTCCAAGGGATTTAAAAAGCAGATATACTGTATCACTGACGGTGAATACAAAGTGGATTCCTCGAGCAGTGAGGCCTCAACGGAAAATTCTTTCACTTTTTCAGGACAGCGATAATGGTGATTGCAGCTGTGCTCATGAGTTTAAAGAATGCAGTTTGTGTACACTAAACATGTAATGGCTGCTAATGAAAGCTGTAAAAGCAACAAATTAGTTTCAATACTTGATCTTAACTGGCTCTACAAATTTCCCTTTACAATTTGACAACACTTTTGTTAAATAGAATAGCTGCGATGCCTATCGCTAAGGAGATTACAGAGGTGCCAAACGCAAGAAGATACAAGTCTTGCTAAGTAGTTTTTTTTTTTTTAACAGCAGAACCACCGGACCAGCAGCTACTTATCTCCCTTATTTGACTGGTGTAATAAAATCGTTTTACAACCTGACATCATATTTGGAGCGTGCAGAGTGTGGTGGTGGAACTCTTATTTTTTTTACTTCACTACTGTATCAAATATAAATCATTTTGTAAGAGCAGCCTGACACATTAATATACGTCTACCAGGGGTGGAGATTGCAGCCAGCAGACTACACAGGAATGAGAGGGGAGAATGGGGTTGAAGGAGTGCCTCTCATCCTCTCTCAGCCCTTACTCACATCTGGTGAAAAAAATGGACTTGATTTCTACAAAGCAACATTTCTTAAAAACTGCAGAGCGATAAAGAGAAAGAGAGAGAAAGAGTGTGTGTGTGTGTGATAATGGCAGGCATGGAAATGTTGCTCACCAGCTTTCTTCCAGATCTCTTCAGGCACGTATCCAGACACAGGCCGGTGCAGCAGCTCCCTGTGAATTTCTGGGGCGACACAAACACACGGCCATGGTAATTAGAGATCAACCAATGTTTTGCATGACACAGCACAAAAGATTGTCGAACAAATCAGCGTGTTGTAGAACCTGTTGGTTACCCTGGTTTTTCAGTCACGGTTTAAGGAACGAAACAAATCATCCAGTTTATTTTTCATTGATGCAATAGACTAGTGAGATGTAAAATGGTAAAATCATGATAACATAGATGATATGGCCTAGTAGTGTATGTACAAACTTAACAGTATGGACCTAGAACCCACCCCTGGAGATCTCCACATTAACTATCAACCATAAAACTGCTGGAGAAAATAAAAAAACTAGATAATATCACTTTCATGTAGGAAACAAACCAGCTAAGTAACAATGGGAGATTTTAGATCAGCTAATAATACTGGTAATAATAGGGCTTCTTTAAAGCTAGGGTAGGTAATATCTTCTTGGACACTTTTTTGTTATATTTGTTTAAATTCTTATTACATCCCAACAGCAATCAATAAAGCAAATGCTCTGACAACAACGGAGAAAAAATTCCGGTATCCGTGGCTGTCGCAGGAATGTAATAAGCCCGCCCAATAATTTCCTTTGGCCAAAAGTGCAATAGAGTTGGCAACACTAAGATGGGTTTTTCGGTTGGATTTCAAAATCTAGCTTGGTCTTGCTGGTTTCTCCAAAGTTGCTAACCCCAGCTTTAATAGTGGTGTGGAAACTGCAGACCTAAAAGGGATAGTTTGGGTGTTTGGAAGTCGAGTTGTAGGTGGGACTTATCCATAGTCAGTGTATTACCTACAGAGGTCGACGGTCGGCACGCGCCCAGTTTAGGAAACAGGCGGGAGTACTGACAAGGGAGTAAATCAATGTACTGCTGTGGACAGGGCCAGCAGCAAAAATAATTTTAGCCACCTGAAAGAAAGGCTCACCGAAAAAAATCAATATCAGTTCAAGTGTGTGTTATATTTAGAATATTTTAACAGCTGTATCTTGCCGTTGGACAGCCTTTTCAGATGTGGAACTGAACTGAAAGTGAAACTGATCTATGCAGTCTTCAAAGCAACAAGATCAGTTTGATAAATACTTCATACAACCCCACTTCAAAACATCCGACCTATCCCTTTAAGAGAGCTAAAAAAAAAAAAAAAAAAGAGGACAGATTGCAAGAAAGTGTTTATGTGCATTAGTTCCACCTCACAGGTGTGGGAGGAAGAGGATTGATAGAGGAAGTGGAATATATAAACTCATAAAGAAAGACCAAGGAAAGTGGAAGGACCAGCGGAGACGTGTTCTTACAATGTAATGGAAACATTACCATAAATCCTTAAACTCACTGGAACATGGCTTTAAGCAGTCCTGTAAATATACTAATTGCTTTGCTACGATATCCTTTAATAGCTCTCTAATACATGTGCAGTTTGTGTGATTCCCAACCTGGTGTTGCATTTTCCGGTGCGGCCGGGCTCTGCTGCCTTGACTGCCCACTAGCGGCGCCCTTCTTCAGCTCTTCAGCATCGCTGTATCGTCGGATCCAATAGTTGAGCTCCTCGCGGTCGGCCTCCTGGCACCGGCGCAGTACTGTCAGTGAGCGCCTTGTCTTCTCCACCATGTCCATGATACAGTTCAGCAGCTGGGGGTGACAGGGAGCGGACAAGGCGCTGAGTTTACACATAGACGTGGAAGGATTGATTTAAATTCAGCAAGGCAACGAGAGTGATTCTTAAAGCCGACATCTGTGATGTTATTTTAGTTAGTGCGTCATTATTACATTCATATGTTTCATGGAGTTCGGCAGTGAAACACGAGACACTCTCACCCTTCAAAGGTCACACCTCTCCACATGACTTTATCACTTCAGTCAAGAATATCTTTGTGGTCACATTATGTCATTGACAGCATCACAAATGTGACACTAGATATATTTCACCTAGTGAACATGGGACTGGATTAACAGCCCTGATGGTGAGCACACGAGCAACAATTTAGCAATGTTTACATTGTACGTTTGTTGCACTGCAGGCAAACATATTTTACATTACAGTCATTTAGCAGACGCTTTTATCCAAAGCAACTTATCACATTTCTACACCGTAGGCACAACTACGGGAGCAATTTTGGGGTTAAGTGTCTTGCTCAAGGACACATCGACATGCAACTAACAGAGCCGGAGCCGGGGATTGAAAGGCGGCCCTGCTATCCACTTAGCCACAGTCGCCCCAATTATTTACATCCAAGCATACACATACACAATATAATTCTATAAAGAATAAAAAAAGAAATTGCTATTAGTTTTGATATGCATGTAATGTCAAACCTTTGTTTAGATGATCTCACATAACTATTTTTTCAATAGCACCCACAACACTTTAAGGTCACTCCTATTTTGTGCACAGCAGTTGACAAACACACTGTTTCTCTTAACTCTGTCTTAAAATACAAAGAGAAGTATTACAATTTAATAGGACTGAAATAAGGATTTAGATAATGTCTGGTTTTCAAGGTATAGGAATAAAAAAATGTTATTACTTTTCTTACATGGTCAAGGTGTTTCCACTCCTCAGCCCACTCTCTGTCTGTCAGCCTGTGGTCGATCACTTCCTCCTGTCTCGTCCCTGTATGCATACCTGTAAACAGTAAGACAGATAGAAGGTAAACAAAGGGCAAGTCAGTATGACACAGAGGAACAACGCAACATTACTCCATCACTCCCATCCTTCATTTGCTCCCTGGTTGAAACTCTCTTTCCATCCATTCCTTTCTTCTCCTCTCTCCCTCCCCCTTTTCTTTGCTGTCTCCATATCTCTCTCTCAGCCTGAGGGCAGGACTCAAATGACTGAGCTTCTGGTCCAATAAACATCCATCACAAGGCAAGACATGGTAAATGTCTCTCCTATTTTTAGAGCAGAGCCGTCGTCGTCATTACAGCTTCATCAAGGCTCGGTCTACGCAGAAAAATGTCTCTAATTCAACGGCGCCGTGCCTGAATGTGCTTCTGTTGTGCGCTCACACATCTCACAGTGCAGTACTTCAGTCAACCATCAGATCAGAGCGGCCTCAGCGTCTCTGAGTCAGCAGGATGGCCATGTGGTCAGAGGGACTGTTTGTCAGTCTGTTGTACCAACAAGCATCCACCTGGCTGAAGTGGAAGTGGACACTGACTGATTATCAGTGTTATTAAAATGGATACAGATCTCAGTGGTATAGAGTTAAATAACTCAGAAATGATGTAAAAATGATGTAACTGTTGTAACAGTTTACTTTTGTATATAAAAATCCTCTTTATATTTCTCTTGGTAGTGCTACAAAGCAGAATATTTGACAGTGCACCATGTAATGGAGTTGGTTTGTGTCTCAAAATCCCAAATGTATGCAACCCCCCCATCCTCCCCCATGTCCTCACCAACAGGCCTGGGTCTCTCCCGGATCTCCCGATGATTGGAGGCGGGGTGTCTGTAAGTGTCCCGGTAGTGATGGGCGATGGCCATGTCATCCAGCCGGTAGTGCTGCGGAGGGAGCGGGCCGCCGGGATGGGGCAGGCCGTTGGGTTGGTAGGGGAGCCCATTAGACGGGCTGAAGCGCTGGGCGGGGCTTATGGTGCAGGGCCGCTTGCTCGGGTGAACATCCGGGTGGAGGGCGCCATCTCGCTCGAAGCCGTTCTCTTTGGTTCTGGGTGAAGAAAGAAAGTAATGAGACACATTTTGAGTATAGTCACTGCGTATAGCACTTTATGTAAATAGGTTTGTCTTCCAGCGGGTGTTTATATTTGACTATTTTGGTAGAATCTGTAACATTGGACAATAGACAAAATGAATGAGTAGCAAAGGGAAAGTAAAATAAATGCACGAAAGAGGAGAGGACACAGGAAGAATCTGTGGTATGGTAATATCACACATTTTTTAGTAAAAATATTTGATTCAGAATTAGTTTGTTACAGTTATTTTATACAAAAGCCAAACTTGAAACATGTCATCACAACATCTCTTTCGCTCCTTTGTGCTGCACTAAATGCTTGAGTTGACGCGCTGACAGACAAAACAACTGCAGGAATCATACTTGAATTCTTTCATGGAAAAGATTCATTCACGTCCATTCATACTTACGTACACGTACACAACTGCAGTGTGCACTCACACACAAGCATACATACTCACTAAAGTAGTTTACAAGGGATCAGGTGAAATTTTGTAAGGCTGCATCCGAAGATTAATGTGGCCAGGTGTGTTTGTGTGTGCGCATTCTTGCACATGTGTGTCTGTTCTCAGCTTTGTCAGTTCACAGTTAAAATCTTGCCAACCTCCCCCCACTATCTGCACTCCTCCACTTTCCTCTCCACCCCTCTCCTCTTCCTCCCCATCTCTCTCTCCGACGAACAGATTGAACTTCTTAATGAGCTGTTTTTATGGGCTCCTAATGCTCATCCACAGCTCTCCATATGCTCTTTCCCTCCATCCGTCCGTCTCTCGCTGCCTCCCTCGACTCATCCATCCATTCTTCTCTCCCCCCAACCACACTCTTATTTCCCCAGCCTTCCTGCTGCAACAATGTTTATATCTACAGGCAGTGCAGTGCACACATGCACACACTTTGACATACTTATACAATGAATGCATTGATGTGTGTACCCATAACCTACCTACTGAAGATACATACATGGGCCCAATTTACATGCACATGCCAATGTCCTGACATTTTAATACTTGTATTTATCTATTACGTATAAAAAGTGAACATGTCAAGATTGAGTTCACATTGTCTCTAAGGTAAAATGATTAAACGGCATCTCATAATGAGCGACAATCTTTTACAAATACTGGAAATTCTCAAACAGTGAATGACATTTTTTCTTCTTCTTTTACCTCTACTGAAGAGGGACCCATGCCTTCACTTAAGGGCTTTTAATTTCTAAATTCTAAAAGTATATTTTAGATTATATTTTAGTAAATCCTGACTGTTTATCTGTTCCCCTTTGTTTTTATACAAATCCAAAAGTTCCACTTATTCACACTGAAAACATTTCAGGGGGTGTAATTCCTTCTCTTGCATGAAAGACTGTTATTGTGAAACATCTGCAATAAGTGTTCCATTGACAAAAGTGGAATGGATTAGACTTCATCAATTAGTGAACGAGAACACCATTTCTCTTAGAACAGAAATTCTGAGCAATAGAGTGTTGAGCTTAATTTTGCTGTATGTGGCTAATGAAATTAATGCTGAAAATATATACTGAATTCTATTTACCATGCAAGCCATTACAGTACCAGTCGTTTTGCACTCCCAGCTCTTATTTTAGCATCGGCTTTGTTAGATAATTAAAGTACACATGATGTGTATGCTTTTTCTGTCATATTCATATTGTACTGCGATATTCCTGGTCAGGTTCCTGCAGACCATGGTATTAATCAGGATGCATTGATGGTGCATTGTTGTCCGTAATTAAGGATTCCCATTCAAATTCCAATATTCTGGCGCAGGGCTCTAATATGCAGGAACGCAGAGCAGAGGTAAGCAGAATCCAGAGGTGCTTAGCCAGCCGTATTGGTGCTGGAGCCTCATCTGTAAGTGTTATCAGCCCATCTCCCAGGGCACACACACACACACACACCCCCACACACACACACATACACGTACACCCCCAAACACGCACAGAGGTGCGCACACATGAACCCTACTCACCCCTTCACACTGAATAGAGAATCATGCACACAGACATTCACACAAACAGACCACATTTTTTTCACTGAATACAGATGCCTACTTACTTTTCTCTCTCTCCATGTATTTTCTCTCTCTCACACACACACACACACACACACACACACACATACACACACACACACACACACACACACACACACACACACACACACACA